ATTGTGTCCCCCACCCATGTCCCCCAGCTGTCCCCTGCCCCCGTCTGTGACCCCCCAGCTGTGTCCCCAGCCGTGTCCCCTATACCCAGCCATGTCCCCTATCCCCAGCTGTGTCCCCCCCAGCTGTGATGCCTGTCCACAGCCATGTCCCCCAGCTGTGTCCCCTGTAGCCAGACATGCCCCTTGTCCCCAGATGTCCCCCCAGCTGTGTCCCCTGCCCCCCAGACGTGTCCCTCCAGCTGTGACCCCTATCTCCAGCCATGTCCCCCAGCTCTGTCCCCTATACCCAGTCAAGTCCCTTAGCCCCCAGCCGAGTCCCCTATCCCCACTTATGTCCCCCAGCTCTGTCCCCAGCCGTGTCCCCTCTCCCGCTGCAGCCACCGGTGGCCAGAGGAGGACACGTCGTTGGCGCGTGACCCCCGTGGGGACCAGCTTCCTTATCGCTTCCGAGCTGGGGCCACCCCACATCCGCCCCTGCCTCTCCGCCACCTCCCGGGGTGGCCGGTGGCACCCACAACCGTCGCCTTTAACGGGGCCGGTGTCCCCGGGTGTCCCAGGTGAAGGGTGGCTCCACCTCGTCCCTCCCCTCGGCGCCTTCCTGCCTTCCTTGTGCCTGTCACTGGGGATTAGCGCAGGGACAGCCCCGGGCTTGGGGACAGGGACGGTGACAGGGCCACCCGCCACCTCGGCTGGATGTAGGAGGCCCGGCCGGCATCCCCCATCCCTGCGGTGGGCGAGGACGGGGACCCCCCCCACGACCCGCCAGCCCTCGGGGCCACCATGAAGGACCGGCTGGGGCAACTCAAGGCGGTGGGAGACCCCCCGGGGGGAGGAGGGACGGGGGGGACATCATCGATTGAGGTCCCCCCAGGGCTCGCTGGGACACTGCTCCCCTGGGAGCAGGATGTCACAGGGATGGGGGTCCCCTGAGACCCCACCCCATGGTGCGTGGGGGTGTCATGGGGACGGGGAGCCCCGAGACCCAAGTCCGTGGTGGATGGGGACATCACGAGGATGGATGTCACCGAGATGCCACCCCACGGTGCATGGGGGGTGTCACGGGGATGGGGGTCCTTGAGATGGGGACATCGCGGTGATGGGTGTCACCAAGAACCCAGACCACGACGCACCGGGGTGTCATGGGGATGGGGGTCCCTAAGATGGGGACATCACAGGGCACGATGGGGTTGGGGGGCCCCGAGAGCAATGGGGGGAGGTCAAACCGAAGGGACCGGGAGGGGGTGACCCCTCTGTGCAGTTTGGGGGTGAGGAGGGTATTTTGGGGGGGACATCAAACCCCCAAATGAGGGCATTTCCCCCCGTGCCGGGGGGTGCGATGGGGACATGCCAGCCCTCACCCTGGTCCGTGTGGGGCGAGAGGGGTGTCCATCCCCTTGCGGGGGGG